GAGCGGGGCGAGGGTGTGGAGTGTGGGTGTTGTTGGGGAGGAGGAAAGGGAGAAGGGGGAGGAAGAGGGGGAGGAGGGAGAGAACCGGTATGAGAACAGCGCGTGCGGGGCGTAGGCGGATGTGAGAGCGGTGAGGGAGGTGTCGAATGCTTTGATGTACCTATGTAAATTCACAAAAGGAAGTGGAGTGAGTTGGCGTGTCGGACGAAGAAGAGAGAAAGAAGAGACGCACCGATCTAGGAAATCGAGCGCCATAGGCTCGACTTGGTCCATCTCTTCGGGAGTCCATTCGTGCGCGTGCGGAGCATCGTGCATTGCTACATCGACATCGAAAGGATCCAGAGCCTCAGCACGCGGGCGTGAGCGCGGAAGGGGTTTAGGGAGCGGGCGCGGACGTGGACGCGGAGGTGGAGTGATGACTTCCTTGGCTTTACCCTTGTCTTTTGCGGGAGGCGGAGGCGGAGGCGAAGGCGAGTGCGAGACGTCTTGGTCTGCAGCTCGCATTCTGTGCTCAGGCAGAGGGAGTCTTATGGGAGATGTCGGTGCTCCAGCTCCATTTGAAGGAGTAGAGGAGTCGTCGGACTCCTCCTCCGACTCTTCCCTGCGCCGCTTCGGTGCGGGTTTCGGCAGGGGTCGCGGTCGCAGGGACCGATATTTGTCTGTAAGTCCTGAGTTTGGGGACTCGGGCTCGGGCTCAGGTAGGAGCGTGTCGGACCACACGGGGACCGGACTCGTCCATTCGACGACCATCCCGTCGTCCCTGTCGAAGCGTCAGTACATATCAACTACAGAATCCACATATAGTATGAAGGAGAGATGTGTACCTGAAAAGCACATTCATCGCTCTGAGCCCCCGTTCCCTGAGCACTGCACGCTCCCTCGCGATAAGCGCATGCCGATGCTTCATCCACTCTGCATTCGCGTTCGTCTTCCGGCAGTTCTCGGGGAGCGGATAGAAGGCACAGGCGTGTGTTATGAGTTTGCGGGTGGGGAGTATAGGAGACGGGCTGCGGTCCTCTGCTTTGATTTGCGTTTGCGTCTGAGGGGAAGGCGAACGCAGGGGCTTGTGCTGGAATATCGTGATATCGTCGTGTTCGATCTCGGTTTTGACCTCTGGGATACTGGTGATTGCGATTGGGGAGGGACGAGGGCGTCCGACGCGTCGGCGTTTGAGGGGAGGAGAGGTGCTAGGGCTAGGGCTGGGCAGCAGAGGCGGCAGGGGAGGTTCAGATGTGGCGGGTCGTGGAGCTGCTGGTGGTTGGTTTAGTGTTAGACCCTTTTTACGAGCTTGGAGATTGAGACGGAGGATCTCTGCCGAGAGAGGAGGTCCAGAGATGTGCGAAGCTCTCATAATCGAGTTTCGGACTGGAGCGCGCGATTGAAGTGCAGTTGGCACAGCAGGAGGACCAGAAATGGATCCAGAGTCATGTCTTGGAGAAGGACGAGCAGGTTGTGTTGCAGAAGTGGATCCAGAGTCATGTTTTGCAGAAGGACGAGCACCTTGTGTTATCTGTCTGCGTTGAACAGAGTTGTGATGTGGCTTTCGCCACATTTTGTTTCCCCGTGGCACTCGTGTCGAGAATTGCCCGTGGAATGGGCGACCCCTGCCCATCAGCGAGGCAGAAGAGACTACAGAGGGCGGCCCACGAGCCAGCCGATTGTGTATGCCTTCATTAGGCTGTGCGTCTTCGCGATGTACGGCGCTTGGAAGCTTGGGACGCCGTTGACTCGGAAAGGTTTTTGCAGAGATCATCAAGAATGAGTTAAAGCAAGAAAGTCAAGAAGTGTACTTTCCAACTGAGAAGTGTCTGAGGCCAACCAAATGTCGAAGAAAAAGAGAAACAATGTGGTTTAAAGTTAAGAATCATGATCAATTTACCATGTCATTGTACAAAAAGCGCTCATCCGGCTCCGAATCCTGATCCTTCTATTAAATTATTATATTAATGTAACCACGATGACCGCCTCCGTATTTTCACTCCCACTACCCCTCATACTCCTAATCCACCTCCACATCCTCGAATACCCCCACGCAAACAGCCCAGAATACGACCACAACATATTCCATCCGCGCGTGCGCGGTCTCAAAGAACGCACCAAGCTCCTCGAGGATATCTGCTATTTCCTCGTTGGACGACTCGAAGGGAACGCGAAATCCGTGCGTACGCGTGTTTCTCGCTCATTCGATGCTCACAGTAAGGAATGCTAACAGATCCTACCGACCTACCCGTGTCTTGTCCCGTCAGACACGCTCGCGTTCCGAACGTCCCTGTCAAAGTACCTCGAGGCCTTGCGGCACAACGCGATATATCCTGCATCGAAGCACATTACTGATGCCAAGGCGAAAGGGAAAAGTAGAGATAGAGACACGGAGGGCGCAAAGACCTCCGGTTCATGGTGGTGGAAAGACGTGGTCGTGCGCAAGTCGTTGTTGGAGGAGTGTGCGGGCGAGAGGTGTGTTGGAAATTCTCTTCTGACGTTGAATGAACTTGTGTTCACCATAAATCAGATTCGAACGCCTCTTACTCTCTTTCTCAACCCACGTCCTATTCAAATCCACAGCCTCATCTCCACACAAACTCAAATTCGACCTCGATCTCGAAAACCTGAATGTACGTTTCTCACTCTCCACTCTTCTACCGAACTCAAGCCACTCACAGGCACTCCTTCGCTCCCTCCCCCAAATCTACGTCACCCGTCTCGCATTCTCCAAACGCGCGCGCAACGCATGGACCCAGTCCGCGTCGGACCTTCTTCGACGCGAGGCGGAGTTGGTCGCGTTGAGGGTAAGTTCACATCTTCCCCTCATAAGTATGCTGATGATGACTTTCACTTTGCATTAAGGAACGCTTAAAAACTCAAGGTGGGGATGTATCACCCAAACACACCTCAGTGCCCACCCCCCGCCTCGTCGCGCTCGTTGATGCTCAATATCACAAGCTCCTCCGTGCGTCCTGGGCCGGGCCTCGAGGAAAGGAGGCGCTCGAGTTCTTGATGAGCGCTACGGGGATCGAGCGTCCTGCTATCTCGAACGACGCGTCGTCTGGATCTGCTCCGGACACCAAATCGAATGTACGTGCATCGTTCTTAATAGGACAGAGGGGCACTCATGCAGGTATTTCATCTCGATCAGCTCGCTGTACAAGGACAAGTACAAGGGCAAGGGCAACCCCAACCGCACCCCCTCCCCCTCCCAGTCGCAGCGGCCCACCACCCCGCGCATATCTCTAAATTCCGCAAGCCCGTCTTCTCCAGCGCGAGCTTAAGACCACAGTCTACTCTTTATGACACAGCATCAACATCAACTGTGGGTGCGTCGGTACCCACCCTCGTGCATGTACTCGCAGAGCAAGACAAAGTGGAGACGAGAACGGGTCGTGTGTTGAGGGATGCGGTGGGGAAGGTTAGGGAGAAGCGGAGGGAGTGGGAGGCGGAGAGGGAAGCGAAGATGAAGATGAAAGAAAGGGTGCGGGTGGTAGAGGCGAAGGTTCAGAAGGATGGGAAGACGAAGTCCAAGCCTGTGGTATGGAAGAAGAAAGCACCACTCCCCGTACCCTTCAAGTTTGATCTATGGGAACCCTCCCCCGTTCATGCTCTGAACTTCAACGTGCGTGTTTCATATCAATATCTCTTCTTTGTGTTGACTGTTTACGATAGACTGAACCTACTCCCGAGCTCATTTCCTCCTTCGGCTTGCAAGACCAAGAACGAGAACATGGGCTCGAACCGCGTATCGACGAGATCCTCCATACGCTGCTCCCTGCATACCCAGCGCTGCCTGATCTCAGTGCGCCAAGGGTAGCATGCCCACACTCACACTCACACTCCGAATCCGAGTCCGGAGCTCCAACAAACTTGAAGAACTTGGGCACAGAGAAGAAAGTGTCGAAGGTCCCGAGTGGTATAAGGAATATGGTGCCTCCCGTGCAGCCAGCTCGGGGAGGTGTGAACCACGTAGATGAAGAGGGTACGAAGACGAAAAGAGGAGATGGAGAGGCGGGGATACAGAACAAGAGGGAGAAGTTGAAGCCGAGGAAATCAATCAGAGTGTCACTTGCTGCCCATGCAGAGCGCCGGCCCAGACCCTCGCTCTTCGCGCCTATTAAACCCGACGACGACGACAAAGACGTGCACCAGATGATCCATAGTATGCAAGACGTAAATACCTCAACCGAGATCGCAGAGGCCGACACGGATGTGCTGTGTGCGTTGGCGCCGGACCCCAGGACGACTAAAAACGTAAAGCGAAAAGTAAAGCGCGTGTTGACGTGCTCCGGAACGCGTTTGTGTGCGGAGAAGGAGAAGGAGATGTCCCCCGGTGTGTTTAGGGAGCCCGTGGACCCGCTCCCGTCGCTCGTCGGTGCGTCCGAGTCGTTCGATGGGCTGAGCGGGGATGCGGGGTGGGGTGATAGTGGTCTTGAAGATCAAGAGCCGGGAGAGGTGCAAAGCGATGAGGAATATGAGGGTGATGCGGGGAGCATGACGTTGAGGGATATATTGTTGAGTGCGGATGTGACGGGGTTTGGGTTGTTAGATCTGGATGAGGGTGAGTGGTTTTTTTCTTCTTTGATTTGTTGTTTTTGGTGGTGGGCTGATGCGTGCTGTGCATTTGTGTGTTGATTAGGTGGAGACACGGAGGTGGGCATGGGTGATGGGGATGTGTCGTTTGAGTGGGAGTGAGATCTAGGACGATCAGTCGGATTTTGGGATGGCTTTGAGGATGACATTGAGGGCTGCTTATAATTATTGTAACCACGGATTCATGCGTAGTGGAATACAGCGGGAACGCTTGAGGGTATCTTAGGAATTACTTCAGATTCTATTTCGAACTGCTCAATGCTTGCGCTTGGAGGTTTATCATCATTTGCACGGCCATGATGGCAGAGAATTCGAATGAGCTCGAAGAAATTGAAAAACATTTGTTCCACTCGAGAAACAACCTTACTTCCACCAAAGGTCAAAGTAGGGAAAAAATTAAATAATGGTTGTTACTGTGTGATAGCCCACCGCGAGGGTCGAACTCGCAGCCTTCAGATTAATTTCATTAATTTCACGAATTTACACCCGCCTTAAAAGTCTGACGCTCTGGCCGATTGAGCTAGGCGGGCACGGGTATATTGACCGGTGATCACTAACAGCTGATACCGGGTGCAAGGGTTACCGAGCGTCTCGGGAGCGCTGTATTTTCACTGCCAATGTGGCTCAAGTAATATATATACAGGGAGAGGTGTGGTGGGTAGATTAAACAATATATCAAGTTGTGCCAATCTACAGGCTTTGTGGAAAATCTCTGCTGACACTAGAGAACTTTTACCTAGAGGGAGGGTGTCGTAGTGGAGATGTGACAGTAGCATGGTTATACTGAGAGTGAAACTGTATGTAATCATTCATAAGGTAATGTCAGGATAAGGATGAGGAATGTGGTGCTGAGAGTGGTGAACCATGTAGGTTTAACAGATATGTGGTATTACATATGCTCTCCAGGCATCACAAGGGGTCTGCAGGATGCCTCCAAAATCAAAACAAAGGTGTGAAATACTAGGGACATAGAGAGGAGGATGAAGTGCCAGATAATGAGTGTGTGGGACATAAGTGCTGAGTAAGGAGTGTAGACTGTTAAATGTGAGTATTGGTATGTGTCCATATGTGTCAAATAATGACAGTGATGGTGAATGAGATGTCAACCAATTAAGCAAGAGAGGGGGTAGTGATGTTGTTAGGCTGGCACAATGGCTGCATGAGTTTGGGATCCTGGTCTGAATTGTACATGTCTTGATCCTTAGGCTTGGAGGGACCAATAGATTCAGCATGATTAGTGGAGGAATGAGCAGTAGCAGAGCTAGTTGAGGCAATGGGAGGCTACATGACAGAGACAGTGAAAATAGCAGTAGCAGTGATGGAATCCATGGGCAGAGGGCTGGCTAGAGGAAACAACAGTGGAATTGAAACAAGAGTGACAGTTGGGTAAGTGAATCAAGTAGAGGTCCTTCTGTGATGGAGGGATTAAGTTGGTGTTCATTTCATAGGTACAAATACAAGGGGGGTGATCTTTATTGTGGTCAGAGTGGTGGCATCAACACTTTCCCTTGTTGCACTCAGAGGCAGTGAACAGATGAGTGAGAAGCACTTCAGTGGCTTAAGCCTGTTCAAGCTCATTCTTATGATGCTTCTCACCATGCTTGTGGTTTTGTTCTGATTGGACATGAGGGCACAATAAGGCAGATATAATAACACCCACTCTTTGCTCATTAACATCTCCATCAACTTGTAGGAGGCCAATATCAACACCTGGGGCCAAGCAACTTGTAGTGAGGGTTCAGAGAGGCTGGAAAGCAGACTTGAGAATGAAGTAGTAGGGGGTGTGATACTCATTACAATAAGAGTCTCATTTGATTAACTTGCATAGATGGGGTGATAGTTGAAGCCTAGTGAAAATGGGCTCCAGGAATATTTGGGGCAGGACCTCCATTTCTGGCTCTGTTAGGTCTAATTCAATGGAAACTGAAAACTTGCAAGATGATCCAAAAAGGAAAGTTCAGATGAATTTAAATATGGAAATGTGCAGTCAACATGTGTCTTGTCAATGTGTGATCCTGAAGTTGTGCCAACTCTTCAAGAACTTGTCTGTAGGAGGTGTTGCCACTAGACAAAAGAGTATCATTGTCAATATTTTTTATTTAAGACAGTGAGAGTGACATTGAGAAGAAAGACATCTCTGTGCCTGTAGTCTAAGTCACCTACAGCCCAAGCCTCCACACTCACTACCCAAGCCTCCACCATCTAAGTCTCTGCTGCCCAAGTCTGTGCCTGCTACCCAAGTCTCTGTGGCCACTGCTCAAATGTCCATGCTCATAAATCAGCTTACATGCTAGTCTCTTAGAGTAAGCTAAGTTTTTTGTTAACATGTAGACTAAATTGCCTTCTTTGAAAGGGACTGCCTTTTGTTTTTGGTTGACCAGATGAGTTTGCTTCATATAGATGGTAAGAATGCTGTTATAAACTGCAATAATGACAGATCTTAGTCTTTGTGTGTAAACATGAATCTCAACATACTTGTCAGGAGTGACTGCATTCTATACCATTGAGCAGGGCATACATCCATGGTTTAGAAAAAAGGGTGAGTATCCAGTGCTTTTTGAGCATGCTAAGTTGAGAGCAAATTCCACAGTGGGAAGTTTCAGCACCCAGTTGATTTGTGCTCGACTGATACACTGTCTGATTTGAGTAACAGTTTGATTAGCTTGTGAAGGCAAGTCCAGAAGATGCTTGTGAAGTAATCATCTTGGTCACTGACAATGGCCTGTAGCAGACTATAATATTTGTACACTTCTAAGAACATGAGTTCAGCCACATCTTTTGTGGTGTAGGTAGTCTGACTCAATATAAGATGCACCATTCCTGTAAGATGGTCTATTATCACTATGATAGAGTCAAATGTGGCATCACAACTCTTTGACTTTGGCAGTGAGCTGACAAAACTATTCTGACTTTTTATAGTCATGTGTTGTCACATGATGAGTCATGTAACCTGATGCATCACAAAAATAATTAATTAATTAAAATTAAATTTTCAAAAACAAAAAAAATAAGAAAAATCAGAATTTTTGACTTTATATAATTAGAACTTTTTAGAGCTTATCAGCATTGTCAAGGACCATCTTTGATAGGCACAAGAAATTAATGTAGCACCTTGGAGGTTTTTTTTTAGCTTCTGTTCTTGTTCTCTATACTTCTCAGATGGTGTAAGCTTAATCAAGGTCTTCTAAGGCTTTTTATGATGGTGTGACTTAAACTTTTTAGATCTCTTGTCTTTCTTTGACTTTTGAGTTTTGTGTTCTCAACAGTGTCCCTGAAATGATTCTAATGAACTACAACTGAAAGAACCAGACTCTGATTTGGATAATGAATGATAATGACAATAAAGGCCTACTCAAACTTGATTCTGAATCTAAATAATCTGATGAAGATTTATCTGAGGAGTTGCCACTTGGCATGTGACTAAATTGCTCAAATGCTTAGCTAAGAGCACACTTCCTGGTGACCTGAGCAATAGACTTGATAAATTTTCTTTTGTCATGCATGGGCTTTTTAGTATCCTGCTCAGCCCATAACTTACCAACCAGCCTTACTGCCAGCCATCTTATCAATCAGGCTTGATAATTGACTCAATACTGGAACAGAACCAGACTGTTTCCTTTTATTGTGAGCAGTCTTTTGTTTCTGCCTCAGTCTATCTAATTCCTTGACTAGCTTGCACCTTGTTTTGTAAGTATTGTTTAATTTCATCATGTGAAGGGGACTCATGCTTAATTTCTACTTTACCATCTGATTTTTCATCAGATACCACCAGGAGGTTGGCCACTTATCCCTCAGTGTGTTTGCTGTCATCCCCACATGGGCCAGCTAACTGTTGTTCTGCTTGACAGTTCCTCACATTGAACAGCTGTTGTTGGATGGCTGGATCAAGCTCTATATTGGACAGGTTGAGGGATCCTCAGTTGTGTAAGTCAATAGCCTTACTCTTCCCAGATGATTTATTTTCTGAGCTCAAGTCATCAGAGGCATGTATATTGTCACTACCATGAAAATTATTTTTACTTGCACAGGCTCAATAGATATGTTCCATCTGATGATTGACACACTCTCACTCCTTATCCATCATGCATTGGCAGATGAGGCTCATGGTCTTGTTTTGCTCAATAGTGAGAGCCAATAACACTTTCTGTTGTTGTCCCTCCTTAGGAACATTCTCAACAGTGGGAGTGAATTTTTTTCTTTTGGTTTGACAGAGGAGTGGATTCTACAGAAATCAATTTATTAGCAATATTTGTAACTACTGCACTAGTGACTGAATTTTCCATTGCAAGACTGCTCCAAGTCTCCAACAACGGGTCCTGTCTTAAGGCTGCTCTGAGTCTTTAGCAGTAGTTACTTCATTGCAAGGCTGCTCTGAGCCTCCAGCAACAGTATCTCTACTTCCCAAGGAGTGGGCATCCCTGTCTGAGACAGATCCAGGGGCATCCACAGATACTATGGGAAGATTGTCAGCTTGGGAGCTCACAGCAAGTGGGATTGATCACTGCAACTGGAAACCTTTTCATTGGTTGCATGAAAACTAATCAGTTTTAACTAAATTAAAAGTCTGATGCTCTGGCTGATTGAGCTAGGTGAGCATGAGTATAGAGGAATTGACCAACATATCCATGGCACACTTGTCTCAAGAAACACCGTACATACCTTTTTTCCGAAAGCGAGTACCCTTTTGAGTCAGCGGAAAAAAAGAAAAGGTGCACAAGAAATTATGGAGCACAGCCAAATAGCCCACCGCGAGGGTCGAACTCGCAGCCTTCAGATTACTCCGACGAGTTTAACACCCACCTTAAAAGTCTGACGCTCTGGCCGATTGAGCTAGGCGGGCACTGGAGAAAGACTCAGTGCAATGTTTGCCAACCGGTCGCCACCAATGTGTCCGCTGATCATGTGGTTCACATTTGGAATTATCATTCCTCCCCCTTCTGCTTTTCGGTCGTCAGTCCTAGTAGCTCGCCGATCTTCGGCGTTTTCTATGGTTCTAACAACGACAGAGGCAAGACAAGGCACTAGCATACAGCGTGATGATCAGGCAAGCACTTCCTGCCAAGGCCAAAAAATAGCAATAAATATGTACGCAGATTGAATATCTCGAGTCACAGCTGCAAGCATACAAAGCCAGGACGTCACTCCTCCAACAGGAACATCTCTTTGTGCTTGACACCCTCAACGAAATCATCCAGAGGGACAAGGAGGAGCTGGAACAAGAACGCAATGCCAGGGTCGTGGCGCTGTCTCGACTACGGAAAGTCCAGGACCGGCTGAGAGGAGTGGAGGCGGAGAGAGACGACTGTCAGGAAGCCATACTCCAACTGATCAAAAAAGGTGCATTCCTTGTTTTCACTCTGAGCATGCGGATTAACCTGGCAGATCGTGTCTAGTCGAGGGAAGCAACGACAACTTCAAACACTGGCCTTTCAGCAAGCTCCAGCTCTCGACTCGTGTGGGTGCGTCTTACTTCCCATGTAAGGTGTTATTCGCTATGTGACGCGTCAATCAACGAACAGATCCACTGCTCGAGGAGCCATTCATTGTGGATGATCTCCGAAATGACTATGGACCGCAACATTCCGCGTACAGCAATGGGCTTGTGCATTATCTTAAATGCGAACTCTACCGCGAACGTCAGGCCCACGCGCTGACGCGTGCGCGCGTCAACATACTCTCGGCACAGGTCGCGAATCGTGACGCTGCTTTAGAAGCATGGATTCAACACGCTGACAGTACTTCCGCTGGTGGGATCCATGCACATGGCAATGGCAAGGGCAAATCGAAGGTGCAGCGTGATCTGGACCGCTCAGAAATCCTGGCTTTGTATGATCAGACAGCTGCCAAAAACAAACTTTTGGAGCAAGAAGTACGTGTGCTTTCTCAATATGTACGTCTTGTTTTTCTACTCCATTCGATCATTGATTTTTATCTGAATCTATTCAGGCGGAGGAGACGCGACAAAAAGCAACTCAGCTTTCTCGGGACCCAATATTGTCACATCCCGCCTCGCCAACATCCACTGTCCCCGAATATCCAGTGCCTTTATCCAGCGCTGTGAATACAGCACTATCCGACAGACCCTCTTATCACCCAGTTCAAGCTGTACAACCAGACCGACTTCGCACTACCAGCCCAAATTCCCGCTGCCGATCAGCCAATCATCCATCATACGTCTCTCCGAGTCCCCATCGCGGGCGCTCATTGTCTACCTCCCGTCAACCACCCGGCACATCATCCAAATCGCGATCTCGCACACGGCCACAATCTCATCGTCATCCTTCAAGACCAAGATCACCCTCGTTGATCGCTTTCCCCCCTCAAGATGTTATTCAAGACCTCGGCGAGCAAGTCCGTCTATTGTCGATACAGATTGACGGTCTCCGTGCCGAGCGTGTTGCCCTTTCTCGCGTTATCCAGTCACAAAGAGAAGAAATGACTGTCATCCCAGATACACATCACAGGGATTCCTCGTTTGACTCGTTTAACACGGATGGAGACCAATCTTTTGTTGCGGAGACTAATGTTGAACCCGGAACTAGGGCTGTGATTCTTGAAGAACATCCCGATGATGATCAACTTGGCCACGATATTAGCGCCGATGCCGCCAGAAATAAGGGTGGTGATGGAGACGCTACAGAGGATGGGGAACGTTCAATGGAGATTGCTACGCCATTGATGTCGGCCTTGGTCACCTTCCCAAGTCCTTCTGAGGGAGACAAAGCAGCTCGGAGTGTTGAACCAGGAGGAGAGCCAGGAGCGGAAGAAAACCAAGGCGATGGTCAGATAAAAATGGTGCGGCCGCGCAGGGGGGCCTCCGTATCTCCTCCCATGCCTCCTTGACGGAAATTACGGATTCACTCTCACTCTTCGGCATATCGAACCTTCGTCTGGATTAAGTTAGGAATGCTTTACAGTGACACAAGTGCTTGTCAACAAGACCGTGTTAAGTTTCCCCCTGTGTCAACCACCCTCGTCGTCTCCACCCTTTCTCCCATAAACTCCGCCGACCTTCTGATACCATCTTACACTTTAGGATATCATATGCAGTTCAGTCTGTAGTATAATTTCATTTCTTAGGTGAGCTTCCTGAAATTTAGGTCGACAGGCGAGCACTCATCATTAACTTTTTCAGGTCGACATCATCCTTTTTTTTTCTCAGACTAGAATTCGATCATTCCTTCCCATCATGTCGCAGCAACAGTGCTATTGATTTCATACCCCAAGTTACTTGGTGATGCTTAAGGCCATATTCCGCCTGGAGGCTTTCATAACCTCCGTTGCAGGGTCTCAAGGCATGAAGATGGAGAGGCCTGTGAGTCGCATCACAATTCATTACAGAAATAACCTTTTAATCTCTGCAGACTGCCGCAAAGTTTTGGCTGTTTCAAACTCATTAGAATTGGTGCAGTGGTTACGCGATCGTCCTTGCTTGGGCATTCTTGAGTTAATGGACAAACATGGCCATCCCCCTTCTACCCACTTTGGCTTTGACACGTCAAGTACGCCCATATCACTGACTCAGATCCACTCTTTTCATTAGTTGTATGTGTGATCACTACTATACTGCCCTTCCTCACAAATAAAAAAGCCAGAGTATGATGGAGCAATTCTTATCGTACTTTATCGACTTTGCAGTAGATTCGAAAGATCAGAATAGTATGCATAGGAACTTGTCTCACAACGTATGACAGGACGACGGATCCGGCCTCAATCGCCAACTAGACACCCAAATCGTAAGAAACCACAGGTGATGCTATTCCGTTGTAACAAGTATTTCGAAACGGATACTGCCCAACACACAAAAATATGCATGCTGCTACATCATAGCCCACCGCGAGGGTCGAACTCGCAGCCTTCAGATACCACTACCTAGTTAAGAGTCTGACGCTCTATCCGATTGAGCTAGGCGGGCTATGTTTCTTTCCTGGCAGGTGTCGGTGAGGGCCAGAAGCGCAACGGATGCGTAGGACAGATTTGTAGTTAGGATTGATTATCACTCTCTTGTAACCAATGACTAAACCCACACGCGTTATAACAGAAAAACCGAGCTCTTCAGGAGGACCTTTGCCTGCCCCACACTTGATTGAGTGTATGGTAGTCTGCGAAGCTCAGAGCTCCGCTCAAGAAGCCGCGAAGCCGCTTGAGCCTTAAACCCTTCGGCAGACGGAAGATGACGACATTATTTGGGACTTGGATTCGATCAGCTTTGTGACAGAGTGATCGTAAGTCGTGACGGCTCTGAACTCTCTCCACGATGCACCAAACGCCATGGACTAGAAAAGTAGCGCCTTCTTCTCTTCCTTCGGATCGTCTACGCCCCAAACCTCCAACGGCACCCTCCCGCTCCAAAAGCTCTCAATCGAATGAACCTGCGCTACCTCAAAGCAGGGCATTGCGTATCCTCAATGGCTTGCGTACCTCTCTTCAGGACCCTTCAACTAGTACAACACTAGATCCAACTGGAGGCTGCTTTTGTCAAGGTATATATCCGTTGCTGCTTGGGATTTGTATCGTTGACCATGCGTTCAATAGCGCGTACACATCCTCTCTCACCATATGTTCCAATATGTACTTCTTGTGCCCTACCTCTCTGCGACTTCGCAGCACCATCTCATCTCTGTCCTTCGTGCAGAGCGCCTCTCCTTACTCCAACCCAACGCAGCGCTCTAATTACGCGTATCGAGACAGAGATTGCCGATACTACTCTCAAGGAACAACTCGCCCGTGAACGCGCAGAAGAAGAACGTCGTACAGCTGCAGGCGCCTTCCCAAGCCTTCAAAGCTTCAACTCTTCGTATCCTCCTCCGCATTCCTCATCCCACCGCCCCTCCCCACCCCCTGAGCCCCAAACGTACAAAGTCCTCTCAATCGGCCCAAAGACGAAGAAAACTATGTTGACGACAACGACGATTAGATCAAAAGTGTCTGCTTCACCATCACCACAAGACTCACGACCGCCGTCTCCGCAGCCTATTCGTGAGCCGCGGCCTGACGCGAATCTGGGAAAGGGTAAGGGTAAAGCGCGACTGGATCCTATGCGGCCCTGGGCGAATCTCAATGGGGACAGTGCGATATATACACCACCTGTGCGGTCCGTCGATGAAGTGGAAGCGAACCCGGAAGGAAAAGCTGGAACGGGAAGGCGGAGAAGAGGGAAAGGGAAAGGAAAAGAGAAAGAGGAGAGTGTGCAGGTGGGAACGAGTGGTGGTAGTAAAGCGTCTGGGAGCTGACCGTGTGTGTAATAACGAATCATACATCCTTCTGGCCAACTAATCTAATTTTTTCGATTTCTCAGTGCACATCGACATTTTACTCTTCACTTGGCCGGACTTCTGTATGCAGATGAAGCGATTGCAAATGCCAGAGCGAAATGAATATACGCTGCTGAATTCATACCAGAATCACCATATTGAAAACGATGACTCCGGGAAATCCTGTAACTTTTTCAAAACTTTTCCCTGACAGACATTGAAGAACACATGGCTTGTATGCGTGTCGCACTCGTCCTGGTCCATTCAGAACAAGTTTTTGCTGTCTCTGACTCAAATCAAACTTGAACCATTAACACAACACTATCAGCATGTCTGAATCTATCGAAGTCGTATCTGTTCCGCTTTCGCTGACTTTTAGTTTGACTGTGAATACCGACAGCTTGCTCCGATCCACATTCGAAAAATCTTTACTTACGCTTCGTCGCGCGCCCCCAGATGATTTGGACTACCCAAGTTCCACATTGAAGTTGCTCTCCATATGTCAAACAACGGTACTGAAATGGCGTTACTTGGTTGGCACCTCGCGCGTACGGTGCCTTCTGTTCATCACACCTGTTCGGAACCCGTTTTCATATGAACAGACTCTTGTCCTGAACCCTTGTCCTTGTCCTGCGGATCTGCCTTCACTTGAGTTACCAGTGAGTAGTCTAGCCTTGAGCGATGTGGAGGCAAAGTTATGAGGAAGATGAAGATAGTGATGAAAGATGAAGCCCATTCCTAGGACACATTCCAGAAGGTTTCATTCCTCCCATACATCGACTAATGTGTTATATGAATTTTATCCTTGAACAGCTCATGGAGGTCGGACAATGACAGGCTGGATCATGAATAGCCTGATAGATGGTATTCCAGGGCATTCCAATGGGCTGCCGGACCACGGCTGTGCAGCACAGTCTGAACATTGTCAAGAAAATCTGGCGATCAGTGTCATTGTGAGGACACAAAAAGAATGTCTTTGCCATTTATGACTTATAGCCCACCGCGAGGGTCGAACTCGCAGCCTTCAGATAATCCCGCCTCTACAGCTAAGTAAGAGTCTGACGCTCTATCCGATTGAGCTAGGCGGGCAGTGCTTTTTCTTACTTGGCAGGCCCAACGTGATCTGTTGATCCGCGAAGCTTCCCTGGACTCGCGGATGTCCTCTTCGTACCACGGGTGAGTTGACGGAGGTTTTCTTTTATTGCGGAGAAGCCTAGGCTGTCGATGGACAACGGGTTAGTAACCGTTTTAAACTCTTTCACTTTTTTTCTCACTAACACCTCTCAGTGGATGGTGCCATGGACTCCTCTTCGCGTCCACATTTAATCCACAAACTACGCAACAAGATCGGTGCGTCCCCACCGCCCACGCCCCTTGGTTCTCCTCAACCACAACTCACCCCACTGTCCGTTAACATTACCTCAGAACCGTTCCTCAGCTCGCATTCCCTTGATGAATTACAATCTCCCCTTTCCTGCCTCTCACATCCTCCTCTGGGCTCTCTGCCCTTCAAGGGTGGTGGGTCATTGGCAGGAGGCAGACCGAGACCGAAGGGCAATGGCGGTGGGCCGCCGCAACTCCGGGAATCAGGAGTCCTGAATCGTGCAAAGAAACCACGAAAATGGTCCACGCATCATTCAAGTAATTCTAAATGAATGAATCAAACATCTTCGTTGACTAGTCCTATCGCCTGAGGAAATGCCTTAACATGACTTGGAACCTCATATCCCTATACTTTGTTGCGCACACCCCTCGGTCGCATCTTCGAATAGCTTGAATTAAGCTAATAGAGGCACAATGCACAGTGGATCATCTATGCTTGTGAGTCTGGTAACTTGAAGGTTCCATTGTGTTTGCAGCAGGTACATAACTTGAGACGGTATATGTTCATGTAGTACAAGACAGAAGCATGTGATGTGACCTATGAATCAATGCACTAGAAATAAAACTACGAGGTGTCTGTACGACATTGCAGCTGATGTGATCATGGGCAGGGACTTCAAGAAGCTACCCACAGCCCTGGTCAAACCTGTTGCCGTCGAACTCCTGAACTGTTGAATATGTGCACATGCTCCATTCTATCCTCGTCTAGTATCAAATAGCTGGATTGTCACTTGATGATCAGCTAACCAATTCATCATCTACTGATCCGACTGTACACTTCAATAGTCATAGTGCCACTTGTTACTTTGCTTCTGCTTCATACTTCGCCAACTTTGCCTTCAAATCCTTCACTTCGACTTCCAACATCAAAGTTCGGATCCTGTACTCCTCCTTCTCCTTTGCATTGGCTTCCGCTTTGCCCACAGCTTCCCAGGCCTTGGCTTCCGCTTTGCCCACAGCTTCCCAGGCCTTGGCTTCAGCCTTCTCCACTTTGCTCACAGCTTCCCAGGCCTTGGCTTCAGCCTTCTCCACTTTGCTCGCAGCTTCCCAGACCTTGGTTTCAGCCTGTATCGCTCTTTGTTCAGCCTTCTCTAACTCTCGTGTAGCTCTTTGATCCTGTCTCTCAGCCCTGGCTTTTTCATTCTCCAACCACTGCTCCAGCCGTTGCACTTCCCTTTTTGATGCGTTGTATAAAGCATCTGATTTCGCCAATTTATCCCTCAGATCTTGATTTTCTTTCCAAAGGGAACCTTTCAACCAAAATTGAGTT